TGGTTGTGAAAGTAGGGTTTTCAAAGGATCGGAAAATCAGGCACTAACTCTAGATACTCATTTGAGGAAGTACTGCTACTAAAAAAACATTCAAATTGAGCTGTTTCAAAACAAATATAAGAGCACATAAACTAGAATACACCCATGGACCACTGAAGGATTACACAGATATAAGACTACATGATTATAAATGAAAGTACCGTGATTTAATGTTGAAATTGTCTAAAGAGAATTTTTAAGATTATCATCGTGGTATCAGAATCAGTATTGAGTCTTGTCTTTAGTACTAAACTCCAGTTTGAAATTTTAATATCGTGACAACCAGAGGTGGGGTCTTGCAAGTCATGACTTGGATTTGAGTCACTAACTTTAGGGCTTGAGACTTGACTTGATAAAATGGACTAAGACTTGGGACTCGACTTGGACTTGAAGGTCAGTGTCTTGGGACTTGACTTGAACTTGAGGGCTGTGACTTGAGAAGACTTGAGAAGCACTTTTAAATCTGAATTATTGTGGCAGATCAAAAGACTGATATAGAACAAAAAAAAAAGTGACTTTATAAAGTCATTTATTGTTTAACAAATCTCTCCAAATTGGCTGTTGAGCCCAAGTCTCCATGAATAAGAAACTGTTTGCTGTAAAGTAGCAAAGACGAGGAAATCTGAACATAATAACCTTTGTCTACTTAAAGACAATAAAAAGTCCAGTCTTTCCTTAACCATATTAAAAATATTATTGATAGAGAAATGCTTTATATATTAGATCACTGGTTTTAGTCCTGGTTTAGTCCTGGTTTAGACCTGGTTTTAGTTCTGGTTTTAGTTCTGGTTTAGTCCTGGTTTAGTCCTGGTTTAGACCTGGTTTAGACCTGGTTTTAGTTCTGGTTTAGTCCTGGTTTAGACCTGCTTTAGTCCTACTTTAGTCCTAGTTTAGTCCTGGAATGGATTAATCCTGGTTTTAGTCCTGGTGTTAGTTCTGGTTTAGTCCTGGTTTAGTCCTGGTTTAGACCTGGTTTAGACCTGGTTTTAATTCTGGTTTAGTCCTGGTTTAGACCTGGTTTAGACCTGGTTTAGTCCTGGACTGGATAAGTCCTGGTTTTAGTCTTGGTGTTAGTTCTGGATTAGAGGCGCACAGGAGGAAGCGCGGTTTACGCCGCGTACGCGAGAAAACACGATCCACACGTGGCTCACGGGAGCACGTCGGTGTCCGCGCGGTGTCTGCGGAAGGAAACGTGGTCTGCGCGTTCTCAGGTTAATGACGATGATGAAGGTGTGTTTTTGTGTTTTGTGTGTGTTTTGTGTGTGTGTGTGTGTGTGTGTGTGTGTGTGTGTGTGTGTTTGTGTGTGTTTGTGTGCGTGTCCCCTCATGTGGCAGGTCACTATAGGACAGTAGTGCAGACATCATGTGTCTATGCAGGTTGTTTTCAGGCGATTTTATATTTGTTATTTTCTTTTATATTTCACGTCGGGAGAATAATTTCCAAGACACGAATGTGTTTTTACCTGTGCACTGCTGACTCTGTTCTACTGGCTGTTCGACCTCGTCCATCGTGCGACTGACGCCGCCAACGTGAACATGACGTTTACATCGCTTTTACTGCGCGCGTTTTGTGTGGGTTTCCGACAATGAGTGGAATTACCGAAATAAAAAAAATTATAAATGTGTTTTTTTTTTTTGTGTGTGTGTGTGTTGTTGTCCCAACAACACATAAAAACAGGTTTTATAATAAAGCAACTCGCATACAGAAACACTAAAGTTAGAGATTAAAAATGAGATTAACGTGATTAAAAAACATAACGCGCTAAATATGACTAATTAATTAATTGCAATTAACGCGATAATTTGACACCCCTAATTTCTACAACTCTAATATACTCTTTAAATACGCATATAAAAATATACCATGACTTTGTAAGTACAGTTCATCTTAAAATTCATATAAATTCAAAAATCTAAGCTATATTTGGTACTTTGGTTTAAAGACTTGAAATGACTTGAATGTCAGAGCAGACAACTTGGACTTGACTTGGAGTTATGGGACAGTGACTCGAGACTCAACTTGGACTTGCCTGTGTTTGACTTGGGACTTGACTCAGACTTGAGGTCAAAGACTTGAGACTTGCAAAACGACAACTTGACGACAACACTACAACATGAACGACAAAAAGAAATGTTTGTCTATGTGATTAGTATGCCAGGTAAATATGAAAACTTTAGTTACAATTATACAGCAGCGTGAAAGATAGTTGGAAAGTTTAGTGAGATTTTGTTATGCAAATGCAAAATATAGCTTCTTTTCACATCAGAATGTTATCACTTGTTGGTTTGATTGAAGAGATAAGGATTTGACATAGGCAAAGTGGTTAAATGTCAGACTATCAATAGTGCAACTACATAAGCAAATGATTATAGGCTCTGTGCACAGAAGCACGCTATAACTTACTCTCACTTTTGTTAAAATCGTAAAACATAAAATAAACAACTAGGGGGGTGCATCAGTACTGGTATATCAATGTTGAAATATCGATATATCGTATCGCTTAATGTGATGATACAGTATTGATATCGTGGGCTGCTGTATCGATATATCACCAAGAGTATTTTTGGTGTATTTTACTCAATTATTTTGTTACAGCACTACAGTTTTGTTGCTTGTTTAGAGGAAGGAAACTCATTTATGCAACACATTTGAGATATTCACTGTTTTGATGATAAAAATGGGTGTGTTTCATATGAATTTTGCACAAGAAGTGGTTTAACAAAGACTGTTAGTGTCACAGCCATGATTTAGCCTTTATTTTTATTAAACAGTATCGTATCACATCGAAAGCTGACTGTATCGAGATATGTATTGTATTGTGACCTATGTATCGAGGTATGTAATGATAAAAACAATAGCTTTTATGTGTAGATTAGGGCTGGGTATAATTATGAATTGGCCGATACGATACATACATCGATACAGTGAACTTTCGGTTTGATACGATATATTTCAAATCGATTCAATACAGTTCAGTAAAAATAAAGGCTAAATTATGGCTGTGATACTAAAAGTCTTTGTTAAACCACTTCTTGAGCAAGTTAAAGTTAACCTTAATATGAAGCGCACCCATTTTAATCATCAAAACAGTGAAAATGTCAAATATGCTGCATAAACTTGCTTGCTTCCACTAAACAAACAACAAAACTGTAGCTCTGTAACACAATAATTTAGTAAAATATACCATAAATTGTCTTGGCGATATATCAATACAGCAGTTCCCGATATCGATACTATATCGTCACATTAAACTATATGATATATTGATATTTTGATATTTTTGCACACCTCTTATGTAGAATACTTCAGTTTGTGGTGTTATTTGAATATTTATTATACCTCAAAATTGGCAGTATTCATTTTATTTATGTACTTTTTAACATGTCAGTGACATACGGCAGCAGCTGTTTTATCTTTAAATATTTATTCATTTTGGCATGACTCAGAGAAAACCACATAGAGATAGAATTGGACAGGAAGTAGCAACGCTAACAGTGAGGTTGCCAGATGCTTTGAGACAAAGCAATAACATCTCCAAGGAGAAAATTTACAAAATGCACCTTTAAGCCCTGTTAGAATGTTTTTACATCATCAAAAACATACCTGGAGTTGTGTGTTATTTCATTCGTATGTGTAACAGTTATCTTTGGTTCAGTAGAGATTGGAAATTCCAGAGCTGAAATTATCCAAATGATTCTAGTGAAGGTGTATGGATTACCACATGACATCACAAGGTGGAACAAAGTATCTTCTGTTTGAGAGATGAACTCGTAAGTGTAAATATGCAGGACGTGTGTGAATGAAATAAAACAAAACTACTGTATGTTTTTCATGAGTAAACAACATTATAACAGATCAGAACATATCTTAATATGGGCTTTTCAGTGTTAATAATTTAATATTCTCAATATTTACATGGCAAATTTGCAGAGTCAAATTCACACAATTCATCACATCAGACACTTTGCATAGGATTACTTGGTTTTAGGCAATCACAAAGGTCTTTTCATTTTGATGGTCCCCTACCTTTTTTACTCCACGGATCGGTTTTATGTCCGACAATATTTTAGGGACTGGGGGCTGCAGCGGCACGGCATGGTTTAGTCCTGGTTTAGACCTGGTTTAGTCCTAGTTTTAGAACTGGTTAGTAGTGGTCTAGTCCTGGTTTTAGTCCTGTTTTAGTCCTGGTTCAGTCCTGGTTCAGTCCTGGTTCAGTCCTGGTTTAGACCTGGTTTAGACCTGGTTTAGACCTGGTTTAGACCTGGTTTAGGCCTGGTTTAGGCCTGGTTTACTCCTGGTTTAGGCCTGGTTTAGGCCTGGTTTAGTCCTAGTTTTAGAACTGGTTTAGTAGTGGTCTAGTCCTGGTTTTAGTCCTGTTTTAGTCCTGGTTTAGACCTGGTTCAGTCCTGGTTTAGTTGTGGTTCAGTCCTGGTTCAATCCTGGTTTAGACCTGGTTTAGACCTGGTTTAGACCTGGTTTAGACCTGGTTTAGTCCTGGTTTAGACCTGGTTTAGTTATGGTTCAGTCCTGGTTTAGACCTGGTTCAATCCTGGTTTAGTTGTGGTTTAGTTCTGGTTTAGTTTTGGTTTTGTTCAGGTTTTAGTTTTGGTTTAGACCTGGTTTAGTCCTGGTTTTAGACCTGGTTTAGTTCTGGTTTTAGTTCTAGTTTTAGTTCTGGTTTAGATCTAGTTCAGTCTTGGTTTAGTCCTGCTTTAGACCTGGTTCAGTCTTGGTGTAGTCCTGCCTTAGACCAGGTTTAACCCTGGCTTTAGTTCTGTTTTAGAGATGCGCATCAGAGGAGGGGTTTGTGCTTTTGTGGCCCGGTACCAAACAACCCATGACCCGGTTTGGTCCGCGGCCTGGTGGTTTGTGGTCTCCTGGTCTGACCCTTGTAACCCTCGCATATTCATACTGCATTTATAAAAATCTATTATGTAATGTACTTGCTGTTCTTCCACAGGACCCACGAGCCAAGCACAAGTTCAAGATCCACACCTACTCCAGCCCGACCTTCTGCGACCACTGCGGCTCTCTGCTGTACGGCCTCATCCACCAGGGCATGAGATGTGACCGTAAGTGCCCCGTCTATGCATAAAACACCACACGAAGAATAAGAACTCATGTGAAATGCGTCTAACTGACCTGCAAAACACAATAAAGAGGCAAATTGTGAGCGCGTAATTATAGGACTGAATAGGAATGAGAATGTTTCATGTCAACTACTATCATCATAATACAAAAATCAAACTCTCTTTCTGTAATAGGTAAAAAACTTGATACCGATTTCAATACTATAAGCAAAAATATATATAGTATTTTTAATGAGTAGAACATAAGATGCATTTAGTGTTTTCCTTTCTTTACCTCACAATATTCTCATCACAACTTTTTGACACTTAATTTTCAGAGTGCAGGTTTTATTTATTTTTTCTTTTGTCATGTAATCGCAGTACATCTTTAAAAAGATTTGTAATATTCATACTTCTTGCATTACCAACTTGATTAGTATCTGTTTATTGATTTACTGAGAACTCTTAATTGAACACAGTGTATGAAAATGTGGTAACAATTTAGTTTAGGGACCACATATTAATCTCTAAGTATTATTTTGTATTAATCAAACACTTATTGATGCTTATTAAGATTTCACTGCATGTACAAAAGCATCTATTATAATCTGCACTACTTTAAAGGGAAGAAAATAGTTAATGGGTTAGTACTGGCAAAAAACGGGCATTGAAAGTACTTCATAAATACTAACAAGGGTGTAATTAAGCACTTATTATGCATTTTAATATTAACTAGTTATTAATATGTGGTCCCTAATCTAAAGTGTTACCGAAAATGTCGATTATTGCTCTAGTTTGTCTAATTATTTATAAGTACTACTGTTCTTTGTTTTACTTATTAGGTTAAACGTGCACTATGTAACTTTTCACCTGCTTCTTTCTATTGCTGTTTTTCATATTCTAGCCTGAAAAAAATGGAGAACAAGAGCCGGTTTTGCCCTATTTTTATGAAATTGTATTGTTTTATGAAATGTCTAGAAGGAAAATCCATAATGTGGTGACTAGCCGCATTTATAAACTTGATTTAGTTCAACAAAAAATATGGATTTCAGCAATATCCATTTAGCAATATGCCATCTGTATTAAATATAAATGTCTCACAGAATACAGTGACTTTATCTCAAACCCAGCAACAACAATAATGTCTCCAGTGTTATTGTTTAGCCTGTAATGTTTCACAGTATGGCATTAAATTGATATTAGGATACTTAGTTTGTGTGGTTGTGCTTTGTTGTACTGATACTGATTTGTTTGTTTCCTCTCGCTGTATTTATAAATATGATCTGGTGTCAAGATGACACTCTGATAAAGGAATAAAGGCTAAAGGCAAAATAAGGTCAAGCTTCAGCCTGCACCTTTTCACTCTGAGTATGTTAAATATGACTGTCTGTGAAATAATGTCAGAATTTACCTGTGACCAAAATAAATTACTCAGTCAGTCAACTTATCTTCGCTCAGATAAGGACCAGGTCAAGTCACAGCTCAGATCTGTGGAGACAAGCCCACTTACAGTAGAATGGATGTTTTTCAATATAATAAACACCTGCAATTAAGATGCAAGAGAAGTTTAATGCCTTAATTGTGAAATATTCCAGATCCCAGCAAAAAAAGTTACATAGTGCAGCTTATCTAGAACATGTTATTACAATATCCTGTATAGTGGCATGCTATTTTCTCACCCTCCCTGTTCTTGTTTAGACTGTATGATGAACATCCACAAGCGCTGCGTGGCCAACGTGCCCAGCCTGTGCGGCACCGACCACACGGAGAGGAGAGGACGCATCCAGATCACAGCCGATATCAAGACCAACGTGCTCACCGTCACCAGTAAGTCCACATACAGCTTCTGAGGAGAAATACACAGAGGCAGGCAGGCTTGTGTGGAGCAGTGTCTCCCCCTGCTGGCAGACCCACACGACACACTCTAATACAACTCAATTATAGTTGCAGAGAGATATGAAGTGATAAAAATGTTAATTGGGGATAATACAAAAAAATTGCATTGTCCCAGATCGATGGAAACAAAGACGCCAAAAAGGATTTCAGTTTCTCATAAATCCCCCACTGAGTAAGATATTAAAACAACTAAAACCCTATGAATCATAAATGCACTTATTCTCGTTGGACTTTTAAATTTTTATGTCATTAATTAGTCATTCAAACTGGATTTGAATACTAAGGAAAAGGCTTGATACTTAAGAACAGAGGTGGGACCAAGTCATCGTTTTGCAAGTCTCAAGTAAGTCTCAAGTTTTTTATCTCAAGTCTGAGTCAAGTCCCAAATCAAATACTGGCAAGTCTTAAGTCGAGTCTCAAGTCACTGGCATTTAAGTCCAAGTCAATCCAAGTTGTCTGCTCTGAGCTTCAAGTCATTTCAAGTATTTAAACCAAAATACCAAATATAGCTTAGATTTTTTTCAATTTATATGACTTTTAAGGTAAATTGTACTTATAAAATCATTGTATATTTATATATAAGTATTTATAGAGTATATAAGAGTTGTAGAAATGTAAGTTTTTCCTTTTTAAATGTCTTGATGAGATCTTAGAGTGAATCATTACAGTCAGAATAGAATGAATTCAGATAAAAAGTGCTTTTCAAGTCACAGGCCTCAAGTCTGAGTCAAGTCCCAAGTCATTGACCTTCAAGTCCAAGTTGAGTCCCAAGTCTGAATCCATTTTATCAAGTCAAGTTTCAAGTCCTAAAAATACTGACTCAAGTCTGACTTGAAGAAATAACAGTTCTAAGCACTTTTAAGTCTTAGTTCTTTGGTGTAAGTCTTATCAAGACTATTATTATTGTTATTGTTGTATGATTTGATATTGTTCCTCCCCAACATATTGTGAGCTTTCCCACAATATTGCAATAAATATTGTACTGTCAGGTTCATACTGTGATGATATCGTATTATGAGACTTTGATATTGTTACACCCCTACTTAATTATTTTGTTACAATGCTATACTTTTGTTGCTTGTTTAGAGGAAGGAAACTCATTTTCTCGTTTTCATATTCACTTTGCACAATAACTGGTTTAACAAAGACTGGGTTAGGGTTAGGGTTAGGTTAACCCTAACCCTAACAAAGTGTCACAGCCCTGAGTTAACCTTTATTTTTTATTGAACCGTATCAAATCGATTTGAAATATATTGTATCAAATCAAAAATGTACTGTATCGAGATATGTATCGTATTATGGCCTATGTATCCAAGGTATGTATCGTATTGTCAACTTCTTAATGATACCCAGCCCTACTCTTCATGCAATTTTTGTATCAGTACTTGTTCAAATGAGTGTCTAGTTTCAATAGTAGTTGTACTTGATTTGTGGTTTGTTGATAATGACAGAAGTCAGAAAAAAATTGCAGTGAATTTGGTTGCAATTTCCTTTTTTTGCACTAGATGGAGCCAAAGGGATGTGCAGAAATCTGAATAGTTTTAACAACATGGTACATGACAGGACTTTCATAACTAAGGGCATGTCTTTAGATTGCTGTTGTGTGCTGAATACAACTCTTGGCATTTATTACATATTTATCATTCTACTCAGTATTACAATGCTACTCAATTTGCTGCTATGTACAAGCAGTGGCTGAAAAAAGTACTTTGAAAATACATTTAGTCACAGACTACTGAGTATTTGCATTAAAATGTATTCTGTTACAATTTTTTTTTATCAGTGTACGCTGGATACACAGAATCCACGAGTTTCAGAATGATGAAAAGTTTGGGCTGTTAACAGTTCAGAACAAAATATTAAATGTTTTGAATGTTCAGCTGTGCTCAAAATGGCACAATCTAACAGGAAACTGAAACCCATGAATACTTTCACATGGAGCTGCACTATATTGTATTACAAATATGTTTTGTTGTACATTTATTTATTATGAATTAGACATTTTCTTGCAATTTGTATGATCAAATAGCACCATGTAGACCTGTCAGAATAATTACTATATCTACTTATCGTTCAGTACATGATAAATGGAACAATATTTTTTAGGAGTCAATACTTCTTTTTTGGAATACTGTGAAATCTTTAGTTATTTTTTCAGCAACATGATAAGATTTGAGGTGTAGAGGGTTGAATTATGAACTTCTGTGACTCATTTTAGATACAACTTAAGTGTTGCATTTTGTCATTTATTTATTGCAGCTCATATATTTGATCAACATTGTACATTTACAATAGTTTTTAGGGATAATTCTGCATCACGCTTCAAAAAATTTTATTGTTACAGGCCTACAATCATTATATTACTTTGATTTCAGGAAAGTTACTATATTTCTGATTGCCACCAGATTAATTAAAGAGTATGAGGCTACATTTATATGATGACAGTCTGAACAGAAGACGCAAAAGTGGCGTTGCGTCTTCACTTTTTTGTTTAGACGAGTGTTTTCGGGAAGAAATCTGCTTGCATATGGTGATGCAAAAGTGTATGGAATTCGATTGGGTATGCATGCCAGGCGGCTAGGTGGTGACGTATGTGACATAAACTTGTACACGACGTGAGCAGATCTGACCAGAGTTTTGCGTCTTGGGCAGTGTAGACAGAAACGCTACTGCGGAGCGTATTCTACTTTTCTGCTATGAGTGAGGTTTCAGATTTTTGCATTTTTAAGCCCCAAAAACACCATCATCGTCTAAACAAAACTCACTTCCAGTAAAATATTTTCTCATTTTTACCCGCAAGCGTTCTCGTGTAAACAGACCCCGAGAATGAGTTACTGTCCTATGATACAAGTACTCGTAGTTAGTAGCATTAGTATTTACAGTACATATATTTTAAGGTCCTGTGTTACATAAAATTGATTCTTGTTAGCTTTTAGACAGGTTATAATGTTGTTACCTCTTCAAAAACATACCCGGAGTTGTGGTTTGTTTCATTCACACATGTTTGAGTGATACTTTATTATTGTCCGTCTACATATTCAAAGCTCATAATGCTCTGTTCCACCTTGTGATGTCATGTAGTGGTAGTTTTCAAGCTGTACCTTTACCTTTAGTTCAGTAGAGTTTGGTATTTCCAGAGCTGAAATCATCCAAATGATTCTAGTGCCAGTGAAGTTGTATGGAGTTTAAAAACACAGCAGAGCACCTCCTGTATTACCAGGTGACATCACAAAGTGGAACAGAGTGTTTTCAGCCTAAATATGCAGAATTTGTGTGTGAATGAATCAAAACAAAACAACTCTGGGTATGTTTTTGATGAGGAAACAACATTATAGCAGAGAACAGAAAACTGCATAATATAAGCTCTTTAATTACTGGAGTATATTCAAGCGTTGTGAAATATTTTGCGCTCTTTGCTTTTGTTGATTTTAATTATTTTAACACAGAACTATGACAAAATGTATTTTATTTAGTTTGTAGTAGCTCAGTTTCTTCACAAATGCATTTTTTTTTCCTCGAATCACACCTATTTAATGAATCAATTCTGTCCACATATAAAACCGCTACGGCTTTTAACCCTTCAGTCCAATTATTCAAAAACATTTCCATATATGCTAATAATTCCTGTGTGTCTCTTATCTTCTCCAATTGACTTCCTTCCTTCTCTGGCCTCACATTTTGGTTCCCACGCTGGTGCGCACTTCTCATTAGCTGCGGCGATAAGAGAGTAGAATTATCACAACGCTACACTAACTCCTGCTCATTTTAACACCAGCAGCATGCAAGGCTTCTAAACAAGCTTAAAGGTGCACTGTGTAACTTTTTGGTTGCGGGCCCGTCACTTGCTTGTTTCTATGGGTATGTTATTGCTCTCCTTAGAATGTTTCACAGTGTGGCTTTAAAGAGCTCTGCTTTACATTTATTAAACTGTATAGCTCAAAAATACCTAGAAAAAACGGCATTCTGACTGTGAGCAGGGTCGCCTCTCCACAGATTTGACCTGTAACTTGGTCTAGTCTTGGTCTCTAGTCTCTTGATCTAATACCATAATGTGAAATATTCCAGACAAAGCAATAATAATAATAATGCATGGAAAAAAGCAGATGACGGACCCTTCAACAGAAAACATCCTGTATTATTAAAGATGTAACGATATCCAAATCTCACGTACGATATTTATTGCGATACTTTGAAGAGGCTGATATAATTGTAGATAATACACTTTTGTGCTTTTAAAATACCTTGTCAGTATTTCCATCATAATCCCAAGAAATCCGTGTAATTCAAAATAAAACCTAAAATAAGAAAACAAAAAAAAAATTTAGTTCTTCATTATTTGTCACCGAAACCAAAATTCTTTTTTTCCAGTTTTCAATTTTGTGTTTATATGAATAATGGGGGAAAAAAAAACGTAAAAAATGCGTCTCCGCACCTCCAGGCCCGTCCCAACACTCAGTCCTGATTTAGTCCTGTTTTAGATCTGTTTTAGACCTGGTTCATCCCGACATCACAGTTAGTGAGGGAAACAGGAAAGGGCTGTTTTTGCCATTATTCATTTAAACTCAAAATTTTAAACTGAAAACATGAATCGTTATCTGTTTTTTCATTTTGGTTTTGGAGACAAATACTGAAGAAAATAGTTGTTCTTTTGTTTTCTTATTTTTGGTTTTCTTTTGAAAAACAAATGAACGAATGATACACAATTTCCAAGAATTCAAGTAAAAAACATGTTTCTTCATGTTGTCTGCACTGAAATGAATCATGGGAAATGTAGTTCCCAATGTTTATAAGATTTTGGTACTATAAAACAATGCATTTAAGCAAAGGAACTTGTAATTCGATAAATTATGACAGTCCACGATATTATTGTGAGACTTTTGACGATACAATATTACAATATTTTAGTTTGTTTCCATCTCCAAAGCTCCTTG